CTTTTCTCTTTTTTTCTTCTCTTTCTTATTCTTTCCCTTCCCTTTCTTTTCCTTTCCTTTCCTTTCCTTTTTTTTTCTTTTTTCTTTTTTTTCTGTCATTTTATATAAGATGTGCATGAGGCGCATGAGGTATACGCCTCTAGCACGCCTCATGAAAAAAGCACAAGAGGCGTACACCTTTTGCACCTGAGGCAAACACCTAAGAGGTGTCAGTGCCTCTGCCATACGCCTCAGGGCATTTTGGGAGCGCCTTGCCTGGAGGCGCGCCTCCAGGTGTACGCCTCCCACGCCTTTTAAAACACTGATAGAAAGACGGCTTTCATGGTTGATCTCCCTCAAATAAACCCAAATGGGTGTTTTGAAATACTTGTTTCATGTGGTAACCTTTGCTCAGATATTCTCTCCCAAAGTGTCAATGTGACTCATAAGTTTAGTTTTGTATATCACTCTGCTTTTAAATATAGGTGCCATAGTGCTCTTTCTCCATTCATTTTCTTGTTTTCATTATTTTATTAAATAATTTTACTTAGCCATAATAAGTCTACATCTCTCATACATTCTCCACACTTCTATTGGGATACCACCAGTCTTTCCTTTCTTCATCTTCCTCCTCCACTAGCACTCTCTATATGTTACTTCCCAAGAATTCTCTATTTTCTTTATTTGTTCTGTATGTTCATTTCTCCAACTCAGAACCAAAGGATTTCTCTGCCCCTTTGCAAGTACCTAATTAAGGGAAACTGTCTATATGAATATATGATTCCGTAAATGAACCTTAACTAATAATGATATGATGATAATAACAACTTCATAATTTAAAATGGTGACAAGAGGTCACCCCCAAATCAAGAGAAACAAAAAAAAAAAAAAACAGAGAAAATTTAAAGCAAAAATACAACAAAAAACCAGAAGTTTAAGAATTCAAAGAACTCCAGAAATCTGCCCCAAAGTCTTCTTTCTTTAATCCTTGAAATTCTGGCAGAACCACCACCCAACCAATCACTGATGAGCTGATCCAAGCCACTACCTCTTCCAAACTTTTCTTCTTATTCTCGAAAATTCTTCTATTCCTTTCCTTCCAAACTTCATAGAACACCACAAATGGTATGCAATTCCACATCAGTTTGGCCTTAGAACCACCCTGAATTCTTGGCCAACAGCTAAACATTTTAGACTGGTCTGAATTTGACCACCTATCCACTTTAAACAGCTTGAAGAAGAAGAAGAACCATATTGAGGAAATGAAGCTGCAATGGTAGAACAAATTCATAATCTCTTCCTCTCCAAACAAGCACAGAGCAGCACATCTACTTGGAAATTGAAATCCACGACTCTTTAGGCAGTCCTGAATCAGAATGCACCCCCTGGCTATCAGCTAGGCAAAGGCTTCCACTCTTGAGAGCACTGGCTTCCCCCACACTCCCTGAATTAGATCGGCTTCCACCATATTTCTGATCAGAATAGAGTTTCCATCCTTGCATTCCTTCCACTGTCTGATATCACCAGCTGATGGATTGATTTTCATAAATTGCAATTTTGACAGCAGATACAAACATTCCTCCAGCTCCAAGTCGAGGAGAGGCCTTCTAAAATTTGGAGTCCACACCACAGAATCATTTGAGACTTCATAACATTCAGAAATAGGCACTCCCTTCCGAACCAACCTGTACACCTAGGACAAATCTCAAAATCTTCCCCACTCCAGACCAATCATCCTTCCAAAACCTAATGCCAGACCCACTCCCCACCCTCCAAGAATAACGAGGAAGCACTCCAAAGAATTTGATTCATATATCCAATCCTTCTAAACCCATTTGAATTATTGCATTACTTCTTTCCAACAAATCAATTAAGAAGTCAACTTTCCAATTGGTTACATGACTAACCAGACCACTTGATCACGTTCACCCACAACATCAAATCCTTGTTTACCACTTCCTCATCCTGTCCCAAGTTAAAGAGGGCTGAATAATCTCTACAATAAGAAATTCATCAAGCCTAACCTCCTTCTCTTCACCCAACGTGTTTCCACAAATCAGAGTCTTTGCATAACCATCACTCAAACAAAGAATACTACTTTCTTCCTCCCACTTAGCTCAACTAAAGGTAAATTGAGAAAACAATGCTGCATTGACTATATAGAGCAAAGATGTCACTTAATCATGATGGTAAACACAGTCATCCTATATGGCATTCTAATTTTCAACATTTTTTATGAGACTCAAGAAACACAAACATAGAAAAGATCAGCACTATGGGGATTGATCACTCAAGTGGGGGTTGAAGGAAACTTGACTGTGACATTATGACAAATTTTATAGCTATCAGCTCGGTGCAATATCCAGGGAGCAAATCATCATTTTTTTCTTCTTTTTTAATAGAGGGGGTTCAAAAGAAAACCAAGGAAAGCTCATTCTGCACTTAATTTCCAATTCTGTTAATAATTCACCAAAGACATCTGGACAATTAATAAACTATAGTGGGACAAATGTGAACCATTAACTAGTACCAGATCAAATTATTAATTTCAGAAAAGGTTGGTGATAATAAAAAGCAATAACAACAATTAAATTACATGGATACAACAAACATAATAAGAATGATTATCAGGTAAAACCTTGTGAAACAATGTGGGCTTCAGAGTTTTCATCCACCACCACCTCTTCCTTTTCAATATCTTCATATTCATCATAATTTTCATCATCAAAAACAACAGCTTTATGCTCCAAAGTAGCAAGAGAAACTTCAGCCGAGAAATAGTCCTTCTTAGGCAACAAATGATCTTCCTCAGTTGTGGCTTGAATCTCAGGCCCCTCATATTCCTCCTCAATGTCTTCGTAATCAACAGCATCTTCAGCTTTTTCATCATAATCTATTGGCAGAAAAAAATGAATCAACACTGAATCAGTATAGACATGTTTAAGAGCATCACAAATAAAATAATAAAATAAAATATTACTTATCAGAAAAGCATCACAAATATTACCATAAGTTCAGAACTGCCATCGAACAAGAGAGCGAGAATTGTATAAAATTACCACAATTTAGATCCTAAAGAGGAGACAAATTTTCTAGATACATTTGCATTAACAGTCTAAGGTCTATATGATCTTTTATATTGTTTAACTCGTCTTGTATAAAGAATAAAAGAAAAGAAAATAGAGATGAATAGAGAGAAAAGAGATGTGTAAATGTAGAGAAATGACAGAGAAAGAAATCTGTTTTGCAGAGAAAACTCAGGTGGGCATGCAGCCCGCTTCTTCTCATATGTCTCAATAATAGATAAAATGGCTGTTATACCCCAGACCATAACAGGAAAAAGACAACAACAACAACAATAATAATAATATTAAGAGAAGGCGTACACTTCAACAGTTTACTACTTGAAAACCAATTCAATTGTATCCTTCTCAAATGCTATTGTGTATGTACAAGTAAACCTATGTGTATTGAAGTGACAGGAACATCAAGACAAACCCAATTTTAAAGTTTCATCTTGCTTTCAACTCTGACAGCATATAGATGAAATGACCGAAGCTATCAGACAAATTATACATATAAAATCCCTCAGAGGAAAGCCTGGCAATTAGAAAGATTAAAAAAAAGGCAGAGCAGTGCACAAGATTCCCACCAATACAGGGTCTGGGGAGGGACAGATGTACGCAACCTTACCCCTGCACATACAGAGAGGCTGTTTCCAAGATTTGAACCCTGGTCACCCAGGTCACAATGGAGCAACCCAACCATTGTGCCAAGGCCCGCCCTCAATTAGAAAGATAAAAAAAAGGATGATTAAATACCTCAATATAGAAATATTGAAAGCCCATGATATGTAAGAAAAAGGATTCAACGGGAAAAAGAGAATTATCAGATTAAGATCAAAGTCTAAGAAAAGATTTTTCACCCTACTGAAATGGCATATACTTGAATTAAACATAGTGATATTCAGAATATTGATATCTAATTCTACTCTGCTTCCTTCTTATCTCTTCAATATGATGCGAGTCTTAAATCTTAAAATGTAATAAGCATAAAAGTTTAACCAATATCAATATGTTTGTAAATGGGATCAATGGATAACATTCACTTGATACCAAGTCATCAGTTTCAGAGTCAATTAAACCATAAAACTTGAGGATCATTCTTTCTGGCATATAAGGTCACCTTGCTCAGAACCATCAGATGGTGTTTGTGGCGATTTTATTGACAACTACATGTTAAACAAATTCATTAGTGTCAATGCATAAAAGAATGCAATGGAAAGAACACAAAAAAAAAAATGATGGGCCCCTATGATATAGACTGATCTCTTAAAACTGTATTAAAAGCCAGGAGCTATAACAACAAGATTGGAATTGCCATACATCAATATCCGTTAGTGATGGACCCAATTTGTCAGCCAGTGCAGAAAGATGTTCCTTTGCATCCTGAAAAAACATTGTATGTCAATCATCAATTAAAGGGTAAAGCAATTGGCTTTGTGAAAAATTATGGGAGGTAGTGATCAAAAAGGAAAAAGAAAAATTAGGGAAGATATCGAAGGAAAATATATAAATACATAAATAAACAGAAAATAGAACAAGAAACGGAACCATGAACACAGCTACAGTGTCAAGAAAACAGAAAAGAAGATTTCTTCAGTTGTCAAAAAGACAAAACATCACAGCAGCTAAGCTAGTATATGCAAGATGATGAAGAAAAAACTTCTTATCTGACCAACCAGTAGTCTTTTATAGTTCCTCTTAGCTGTGCAATCATAAAAGCCTCATTGAAAATAAAGAATGTAATGAGATAATACAGTAAACAAAGATCTACTTGCATCTATAATGGACATGGAGTTGGCATCTATATTAGCACTTTCAGGAGACGCATGCATAAGGATGCCAGTAACTAATATCTCTAATCCAATCAACAATATTAAGCAATTATTATGGAGCACCTTGACTTGCTAATAACTTGGTAAATATGTTGCTCGAATCACTCTCCATTATTCATGGAGCTCAAACAAGTATTGCAAAAGTTATTAGCCTTTCTAACTACTACCTCTACATATTTAAAGTTTTAATCCCCAGTTCCCCATATGCCAAGATAAACAAAAATTTCCCATCTCCTAAAACTGCAAGCAGCATGGAAAAGATCATGCCTAAAGGCATGAAAAATCAAAGACCACATTCTGAAATTTCACTTATCCAAGTATGGTTCATAAGAATTGTAATATTTTGACATCTTACAGGAGAAGATAATACGAGATCCGACATGAATTGGGGAGGATCCAACATTTTTACAGAAAATATCACTAGAACATTAATTTCAAGATATCATTGATACTTCGGCACAACCAGACATAGAAGTTCCCATGAATCAATGAAGCACAGAGAAAGTTGTGCTGTCATTTTAGTAGCTTAAGTAAAAAATAGAACTCAGATGCAGAAAACACACCCAAAAAAACTTTGTTTTTTTTCTAAAAGTGGAAAACCATTTTACATTATACCTTTTAATCTAAATCTCCTTTATAACCCCATCAATCTAGTCCATCAGCTTAATTGCTAATTTTGGGGGAAATTGGAAAAAGAAAAAACACCTAAGCATGCCCCTTGGAAATAAATGCATCTCTAGCACTCTCTGAGAGCCCATCCTTGAGTGTTTCCAGAATAGGCTCTCCTCCTGGAAAGACAAGTATCTAAAAAAGGGGGACAAACTCACACTCTAATTAAAAGCACATTATCTAGCTTGCCCACATTATCTAGGTGACAAGGTGCCCTTGGAGGCTCGTCTCGCCTAATCACTAAGCAGTTTTATACCATGTATTATAAAATACATATATATTCTTGATTTTTTGAGATAATAATTATAGAATAGACATTATTAAAGTAAAATATTCATTTTGTGTGTATATACTAATTTCATTTTATTATTTTCTTATTTGTTAGGGTTTAATTAACACAGACATTGCTAAATGCTGTATTGAACCCTCAAAAACCTCAAAACCTGAACCAATAAGGATGAACTTAAAATTTTGTCTAATCAACATTTTCTCAGGCATATCATATTGTATCTTTTGATTCCTAATACACCTGTTCACAGGAGTTTTTGGGAACCCTTTTTTAAATAGTGTGTGTGTGTGTGTGTAAAACTGAAACTTGAGAAAAAACTAAAAAATAAAAGGAGTATCGTTCAAAGTACCAATACACCTCTACCAATACGCAAAGGTGTATTGATACTTTGAACCTTGAGTTCAGCCCCTATATTTTTTGAATTTGTTTTTACTTCCCTCGTTCCCTTCTCACAAATAAGTTTATTTTCTTTTTTTTAATCCACAAAAGCAAAAGATCCTTTTCTTCATGTAGATAAAATAAACCAAAATTCTAAGCTTTCATGGTTTTCTTTAAAAACTCCTATGAATATGTTGATTTTCTATACTATAACATGAAGTGTATACTTTTCTTATAAAAATTATAAATAATTATAAGAAAATATGGTTATGGTACCTAGGGAACTACCCTAGGATATATGTTTTTTACTTAAAAAATCATCGCCTAGGTGACTAGGCAACAAGGCGACAAGCCCCCCCCCCTATTGCCTAACCTCATCTTGGCGCCTTGAAAACTATGCATTCCCTATTCCTTCAAAAACAGCTTCTGGAGAAGCTGAAAAGAGCCTTTCTTTCTCATGGATGGAAAGATGAAAACAAATTCACTTGGTCAATTGGGATAAAATCTCCACCCCTAAAGAAGCAGGAGGTTTATGCCTGCACAGAATTAAACAAATGAACATTACCCTCTTGAGCAAATGGCTTTGTGGGTTTAGTGCCCATTTGGGAGGGCTTTGCAAGGTGGGCTCCACCCAGACAGCATATAAGCAATGTTTGATGAAAAATCCAAAAAGCTTAAATTTGCTTTTTTTTCAGCCAAAAAAGAGTTTCCATTGAATCTTCTTCTAGTGGCTTCTCCAAAGCAGCTCAGCCAAAGCTTCCAGCCCTCTGAACTGGATAGCTTTTTATGAATCAATAAATGTAACTTTCATTAAAAGTAAGATAACAGTAAATACAAAGAGTACAAAAGGGCATATAGAACTTTTCTTAAGGGCAGAGTTGAGGAAACACTGTTATTAACAGACTATATTAGGCCAGATGTTTAGCTGCTAGAGTGAATGCATCCAGTGGTAATGAAACCAAGCCTAAAAGGAAATATTACCATAAACATCCCTTTGCTTTCCAAAACCTAACATGCACATGTTGATATGGTACGGATATGGACTAACCTTGATTGTTGTTCCAAAGGAAACCGGGCCCTTTGGTGATTGCTAAAACACCAGAAAGCATAGTCATGATGGTGAGAGTATTCTTGTTGGGACACATTGGCCAAATGATCCCGGCGGGGCTCGAACCCGCGACCTTCGGCTCATGAAACCAATGCTCTAACCAACTGAGCTACGGGACCTGTATCTAGATTATTACTATTATTCCTACTGGATTGGAGACCAAGAGATAACTCAGTGTGACCTTTTCCAGTATCTTGGTTTGATAATTCATATCAAGGGAGAGATTGAGGAGGATGTTACCCGTATAATTAGAGTAAGATGGGAAAAATGGAGGGGTGCACTTGGACTTTTTTGTAACAGGTAAATACAACTTAGATTAAAAGGAAAACTCTATAAAACAGTTGTACAGCCGGCTATGCTGTATGGAGCAGAGTTTTGGGCAGTCAAGAAACAACATGTCCAAAAATGGGTGTGGCAGAAATGCTTATGCTGAGATGGATGAGTGGAAAAACTAGAAAGGATAGTATCACAAAATGAAGTCATTCAAAGAAACTTAGGAGTAGCTCCATCGAAGACCATCAACAGCACCCATAAGAAGAAGTGATTTGTTGCAAGTTGAAAAGGTCACAAGGGCTAGGGGTAGACGAAAAAGGATAACGACCTGCATAGGAATTGTAAGAAATGATTTAAACACTATTTTACAATGGATATGGAATTGAACAGAATGGAATGGTGAAACAGAATTCATGTAGCCGACCCAATATAGTTGGGATAAGGTTTCAATGATGATTAGACTCCTACTGGAGTTATTACTTGAAAATTCACAGTTTTCTAAAAAACAAAATAAGAAATTGACAGTGGAAATATGAGATATACCAAAGTGCCAATTTTGTCATCTTTTCCCTGTTCATTATCAATAACAAAGAAAAAATAAAGGAACCTATAAAAACAAACTGCTAAAGTAGCTTCTAATACTTTGTGCATGACTAGGCCTATCTAAGGGTCCATTAGCTTCTCATACAAAAACTCAAAGTCCAAGAATATATGAGTTCTAACTCCCTGAAGTTGTTGTGAACAGAAAGACACAAACAAATCATCCCAATGACAAGTCTGAGCACCTCTTCAACTGGCCATTGCCTCTTCTTGAATATTCTTCTATTCATTTCCCCACAAATGGCCCAAAATATGGCCAATGGGGCAACTCACCGTATAGCATAATGTTGGCTGTTAAGGTTCCACAGTTTCCAGCAACTCAAGAGTTCACTGACCAAAGATGGAAATCACCAAGACACTCTGAAATAGGGTTGATCATATCTGCTCGGGCCCTAAAATCCTAGAGCTGGACAGCCCGACCCAGGCCAGAACATATATGTGTATGTATATATGTACATACACTCTGAATAGAGTGTGTGTGTGTGTGTACACCAAGACACTCTGAGGAGAGAAAGCTACTGTTTTGAAGGGTCTCACATTGTTGGTGTAAGATTTTTTAGCACAATATGCTGATGGGGTCTACTTTACTTGTACATCTTAGGAGCTTTTTTGCTTGGACCACAAAGCCTTCAGAGTTTTCTAAGCCTTTTATTTCTTCATTGATACAATTTTTATAATTTATTATCAGAAAATTATAGGATTTATATTATAAGAACCATCTACAGCATTTACTGTAGCAAAACAAAAGCTTTTCTATGTTTCATCAGCTTTCCAGATGCCAAAAAAATGGCAACCCACATTGATTACATATACACCATTCCTTCCTCAAAACAATCAATGCAAATAGCAAGTTGCACCAGCCATATGCTTATTAAGTACATACTTATTAATGGTAAATAAAATCATTTTCAGTAACACGTATGAGATTGCTTCAAATGAAATGTCAGATTTAGACGACCTGATACTAAAATTGGTGCTACAATCTACAATTGCAAATTACATACCACAATTATTGGATGCACAGAAAGTAAAAAATATAGGAAGGTTAAGGGAGGCTCACCTCATCAAGATAATCTGCATCAAGATCACCTGAATCATCAACATTTCCAAACATAAATCCCAAGAGTCGGCTCCCTCCACCAGACTCCTCATAATCATCCTCATCATCTGCCAAGCCAGAACTTTAGAACCAAACAAAAGTATGCCATGCTATAACCCGTAAATGATATATCAGCAGAAGTTTCAAGTCCAAAGCTTAAAAGGAGCAACTTATTTTCAAGGTACCTGCTTTCATGGGAGCATTTACATATCAATAAATAAGTGAATCATGCAGCATGCATGTCTATAAATGCCTGTTAAATATAAATGCAAGTCTAAAAACTTAACACAAGAAATCCAATTTCCAAGTATGACATGAGCATATTTATGAATGGATGTGCATTTATGATAACATCTGTATGTAAATTGCATGGACCTGTATAAGCATGCATATTCAATGTTTAAAATGTTAGAATCAGTGTTAACATGAATTGGGAAAAGGCCTATGACCACATGGGCTGAAGGTGCACATTCAATGTTTAAGCAGCACATTCAATGTAAAGTTGATCTGGAAAAGGCCTATGACCACATGAATTGGGCCTTTCTAGACTACATGTTGGCAAGGATGCATTTTGGGTCCAAGTGGAGGAATTGGATGAAAGTATGCACCACAACACTCAGCATTTCAATATTGGTTAACGGGTCAGCAAAAGGACAATTCAGACTCAAGAGGGTTAAGACAAGGTGACCATTTATCTCCATTACTTTTCCTCTTTGTAATGGAAGGACTGAATAGGATGGTGGGAAAAGCTTCAGATTCAGGAATATTAGAAGGATGTGAGGTCGGGAACAATGGGCTGAAGGTGCCCCTCTTGCGGTTCACAGATGATACACTTTTTTTGTGATGCCAAGATGGATCAAGTAAGAAATTTAAAACATTTTTTGGATTGAGGTGGTTTTGGTGCTAAAAGTCAACTTTTCTAAAAGTGAACTGGTGGCAGTTGGGGATGTGCCAAATATGCAAGACCTGGCCAATGTGTTAGGCTGCAAAATGGGAAGACTCCCCTCCAAATACCTAAGGTATTCCTCTTGGAGCAAAATGTATATCCAAATCGTTGTAGGACCTTGTGTCCCCGTCCTTGAAAAATTAGACTAAAAGCTGGCTTCATGGAAGGCTCATTACCTGTCCAAAGGAGGCAAGGTGACTTCAATCAAAAGTGTATTGGCTAGCCTCCCAGCCTATTTCTTATCCATTTCTCAGTTCCTTCTGGTGTGGCTGTCAAATTTGAGGAGAAAATGAGGAATTTCCTTTGGGCTGGATGGAAGGACTCGAACAAGTATCACTTAGTTAACTGGAAGCAGGGGTGCAAACCTTTAAACCAGGGAGGATTTGGAATTGGGAAGGTTAAGGCTTTCAACACTGCATTGCTGGGCAGATGGTTCTGGAGGTTTTTCTACTGAGCCAAATAGCCTATGGAGAAAGGTTATTGAGGAGAAATATGGCTTGAGAAGCAATGGGTGGGATGTAATAGATCCCAATCTTTCTTATGGGTGTGCAGTGTGGAAAGGCATTTGCAGAGCTTTTGATAAGTTCACTGAAGGTTTAAAACTTAAAGTGGGAGATGGGAGGAGGTTGTACTTTTGGATGGACCCTTGGTGTGAGGACAGTGCTGTAAAAGATGTCTTCCCAGCCCTCTTTTCTGCAGCAGTAGACAAGTAGCTTTAGCGACAGATTCTTTTGTGGTGGAAAATAATATGATTACTTGGACACCTTCCCTTAGGAGAGGTTTCAACGATTGGGAGCTGGATCAGGTGACCCATCTTTTCAAAATCAGCAGCTGAATTTGCAAGGAGAAGATACAAGATGCTAGAAATGGAGAAATTCTGGAGAGTTCTCTATCAAGTCCTTCTATTTGGGCCTTGTAGGAGAGGCAAGAGAGTCCTTCCCAAGCAAATTAATATGGAAAGCAGCAGGCCCTTCTAAAGTAAAATTTTTCCTGTGGGTGACTGTTTAAGGCAAATGCTTGACTAAGGCCATGTTGATGAAGAAGGGGTTTAATGTCCCCAACTTGCTCTGTGTTCTCTGCAATCAAGAAGTGGAGACATTGAGACACCTATTTCTGCACTGTAGCTTCAGTGCTTCAATATGGAACTACTGTATTAATGCTACAAACTTGAACTGGTGTGCTCCAGGGTCGGTGAAAGACCTGTTAAAAGGATGGCCAATCCAGGGTATGTCTAAAAAGGGGAATGTATGCTGGTCTCAATTCCGGCTGCAGTATTGTGGGCCATCGGGCTGGAAAGAAACCGCAGAATTTATTAACAGAAGTTGGCTTCAGAAGCAGTGGTAATCAATGCAGCAGTTGGTTTCTTAAAGAACTGGTTGTTTGTCCATAATATATTCAGAAACGAAAACTATTCTTCTTTTTTGAGAGTGGACTTTCTTGGAAGTTCCTAGTGGTAGTGGTTTGTTATGTACAGTTACACATTGTACAAAGGACCTTGTTTTGATATTAATACAGCTTACCATACTTTTCTCAAAAAAAAACTTGCCAGAACTCTCCCAAGATCAAATTCTTTCATCATCAGTTTGAGGATTAGGTTTTATACATTGAGATTCCTTCTAAAAGTTGGGCCCAAATTACTTCACCATTCACAAAATCAATGAAGTCTTCAACCACAGCTTCCTTATCTTGGGCAATATCAAAAAGAGAAGAAAACCTTTCACACAAAGAAAAATCCCCACACCATTCATCAAGCCAGAATTAGATATTATTGCCTTTCACACCCAAAAGAATTTTAAGCCAGAATTAGATATTGTTGTAACACATATCTGCAATACAGTTGCCAATTTATAATATTGTAATACCATCTCATGTACTCAGTACTCCACATAGCTGATAGAGCTGATAATCTTCACTAGGGAATACGTCAATTCCAGTAGCATTTCATGTCAGTACCCATGGAAATGGAAATATTAGGAGGAAATATGTCAACATTTTAAACCATGTCTACATTACAAAAAATATCCTGAGGGCACACCTCATTTCAACCATCAATTTTTTATTTTTAATAAGTTCTAAGAATTTATTAACTATCCAGTATCTATTGGTGCAAAATGCTTAAAGTTTCTCAGCAATTCATCCAAATTCTTGGTGATTGATTTAATAAAGGGATCCTTCATATATGCTTCATCTTCTTCTTAATACTGTTTGTTGTACCTTCTCAACTTGGGTTCCTACACTTGTGCCTCTTTCTTTAAAGCACTTTACCCTCTCCTCCTGTTGGATCATCTTTCCCTGTTAAAGAAGTGTGGTGTCGACCTATACCTCCAAAGGTTGGGAGTTTCTGTTGGGAAGCCTTTCTGGAAAGAGTTAATACAGGGGATCTACTCCAGAGGAAAAGACCCAACAATTGCTTGTCTCCTCACTGGTGTGTTTTCTGTAAATCCGATGGTGAGTCTAGATACCATTTACTAATTTCTTGTCAGTTTGTTAAAGTTATTTGGGTATGGTTTACTTCTCTGTTTGGGTGCAGGTGGAATCCCCCTTTGAATGTGCCAAGCTTATTTACCTCCATGCCTAATTGGCCAACCAAAAGGGCTAAGATCGTGTGGAGGTGTGGTAGAGCTGCGGTATGTTGGACTGTTTGGGAGAAGAGGAACTCAAGGATATTCTCAAATAAGGATAGAAGTGTGGAAGAAATCATGGAGATTATCCACATTAGGATGGTATATTGGTTGAGAACATTGGAATTGTTCAAAGTGTTCTCAATTGATGAGTTGATAAGGAATTGGAAGGAGATTGCAGATTCAGGCTCAAGTAGAAAGATTTTAAACTTTTGTTGGACTCCTCCACCTCAAGGATTTATCAAACTGAACTTTGATGGTAGCAGCATAGGCAACCCAGGGCCTTCCGGAGTAGGGGGAGTGATAAGGGATGAAACAGGGAATTTGTTAGCCATGTACTCTGGTCCGATTGGGGTGGGAGACTCCTTGAGGACTGAGATTTTAGGAGCTATTGAAGGGATACAATGGGTCAAGGAAATGAATATCAAAAAGTTGATTATAGAAGGTGATTCTGAAACTGTGGTGAATTGGCTAAAAGAGGACTGCTCTATGCTTTGAAAATACAGCAATGAAAAGAGGAAGTTCAAGTGGCTCACCAAGGACATGGAAATTCATTGTACATGGATAAAGAGAAGTGCAAATGCATTGGCAGATGGTCTAGCTAGGCAAGGGGTAAACAGAAACACTACATTTTGGGCTGTTTTGTAATTGCTGCATGGTCAGGATGTTCCTTGGGTAGCTGGGAGTTAAGACTTTTTAGCTCCTTCCCTTGTAACTCTGATTCTCTATATCATTAATAAAATTTCATTGTTATTGATCAAAAAAATAAAGAAAGAAAGAAATCCTCAAATTAATGAAACATTTTTTCACATTAGGTCCATGCCCTTGAGAAGCACAGGAGAGATTTTCTTTGGAAAGGAAAAGAGGACAAAAAGAATTTCCACCTGGTTGCATAGGCTGAGGTGTGTAAGAAAGGAGGTGTACACATCCAACCCCTACATTAAGTGAATCAGGCCCTTCTCTCAAAATGGCTATGGAAATTTTCTATAAAAAAGGAGCTATGGTGTACTTTCATATATCCCAAATGTCTACAACTGGCTTAGGATGCAATTCCAGTGCAGTAAACAACTCTTACGGGATGAAGAATAAGGAATTATTCTCTACTTTGTATCCTTCAACCAGGTACTGGCGAAAATATCTTTCTTCTACAGATCACTGGTGCAGCAATGCTCTTCTATGGCTCACATATCCCAATATTTCCTCCTTCAAACAAGACAAAAGGACCACAGTCGAGGACTGTTATGACATTATTGGAAATCAAATTGTATGGGCACCAAAACTGGCCCAGCCCAGCCCATGATCACCCCTAGTACCATGCCTCCTCTGTTTTGTTTCAGACTATTTGAGAAAAACAAATATGGAAAATAGGGGTTTTTTCCCTTCATTTATTTTTGTTGTTTTTGTATGTAGCCACCCCTCTTTGTCTCTCTATGTGCGTGCAACCATAGAAAGCACCCAACCCTTTCCTTGTTTGGGGAGGGCTGAAAATTTAATGGTCTTTCAATTAAGTGTAGTTTCTCACTTGTCATGTTAGTGCTTTGTCAAATCTTTATGGTCATCGACCTTTCTTTTCTATCCAGTACTTGTTAGGAAAAAACTGCAAGAATGTACTAGTTCCACAGAAAAGAAATATGGGAAGACCTTGCATTGTTTGGTAGTAAATAAAAAAAAAAAATTATTAAGGAGAAGAAAGAGATTACAATAAAAGTGATAAGGAATCACCCATAATAAAAAATAAAAATAAAAAAAAAAGCAATCCCAAACCCAGACCCAATCTCCTCTAACCAACAGACATTAGAATCCCAAGGCTCAAAAAGAACAACAAAACACCCTATCCTGACCACAACAGAACCCCAAAATTACAGACAGTATTAAAACTCAGTCATCCAACCCCTTAACTCCTAAAACCTACACCCTATCTACCCAACCCAAAAAAACCAAATCTCCAAACCCAAATAAAATCCTACACCCAAAGAACACGTCTCCAACTTAAAATTGTATGATAATTTTGTATAATTACTCAACCTCTGCAGTGGCAGAAAGTAGAACATTAGCCTCTTTACTTCTCTTGAGAAGTCTTCTTTACCCTCAGTTTCTAGTGAAAAATAGAAACTGAAACAGTCCAATTATTTTTCTGGCTTCTGAATCTTCTTACTGCATTAGTAATATTCTCAGGAGCCATCAAATCCTTAGAGTTATTATTGATCCTTTCTAACTCTAAGACAGAATTCTTCTCAAAGATTTGATACGCTTCCACCTCATCACCCTTGTTAAAATCATCCCCTTCAACTTCAGATGGCCTCCCACTGTCTTGCATGTTACCATGTCTTGCAATAACACCAATCTCAACAAGAATCAATTTGTCTTTCTCCCTAACCTTCAAAGGCCCACCACCATATTTTTCTTCCAGCTTCTTCAGATTTCAGTGTCATTCTATATTTCCCTTTTTTTTTGATAATTCATTCTATATTTCCTTTTCCACCTATAGATTTTTGACCCATAAGCCTTGTAACCTTCTTTCTCTTCACGTCCTTCCCCTCCCTTGTCAGAAGCATCCTCTTTCTCAAATTTCCCTAAGCAGTCCACACCAGCACCAAGTCCCTTTTCGATATGTGACCCATTTGTTGATTCAGTACCATCCCCCCTCAACCCACTCCTTTTTTCCTCCATCCACATCACATCCAAAACCCTCATCAGACTTCATGCTACTGCCCACATTTAAGGTTCCCTTCCCCCTAGAAACCTCCTCTCCCGCTTCTCTATCTTCCTCCCTTCCAGAAACCACTTTGGCCTTGCAAATTGAACCCTCCCCCTCCGCTAAAGCCACCACCCTTTCTCCCCCTTCTCCTACTTCCACCCCCTCTATGAAGCCTCTTCATTGTTTTGATAGTAAAACAAAAGTTTATTAATAGAAAAAAGAAATTACAAGAAAGGTGACAATAAGTCACCCAAGAGAAGAAAGAAGACTTGTTCATCCCCACAACCCCACCCAACTACCAAAAGAAAACACTCCTCCAAAGCCTCTTCATTTTCACCTCTAAAAACCATATCGGCCCCTTTTGACTCCCACCAATTATCTGCCGCTGAAGACCTTGCATGTGTGGGTCTCAGAAAGAACAAGTAGATTTTTTATCAGTAATTCTTGGTGGATTTATCCATAAAGAAAAGAGAGTAAGTAGAGAAGCCTGAAGATACAGTTTCTACATCAAGAATGGAGTTAGCTTAGCTCCCCTTCTCCCCAATCAATGGCTACTCAAACAAATTCAGTTTTGAAATTGAGTAGATTTATTATTGATAAGCAAAAATAGGTGGATTGAAATGAAATGATGACATTGTGGTTTCTCTTTACATTAAAATTAAGAAGTTTGCCATCTAAAATGAGAAATTTCCAAATCACTAATAAAATACTGCAATTGAGTAATTTCAGATTTTGTCCACAATGAACTTGTTTACAGTTTCATAACAACCTGAAGTGAAATAGTCTGGATTCAAATGCCATGTATGGCTACATGACCTTCTAACACTAATAGGAAATTAGTTTCCTTATTTATTTTATAAGTCCCTTGGAACAGTAACTTTCTGCACCAAGAAACAAAAACCAGAGAGGGCTATGATACACATTTTTTTGGTCAATTGTGGTGCACGATATGAAAATATTATTCTTTTACAATTCAAACAGTTAACTAACCTTCGTTGTGGGTGTCATGCGATGCGTTGCCTGACATTTCCCCCATGTTGTACTTACAGCTTCACACTAAGCAAAAGAAGGAAAAAGAGAAACATTTCTGTTATTTAGCACCAATTGACGATCAATGAAAAAAAAAAAAAAAGCAACTGACAATTCTTTTAAGTACCAAAAAACAAAGTGAGAATTATACCAGAGCAAAATGAATTAATATCGACACTCGACATTTTTTTCTTACAATGAGCTAAAGTGTCATAATACTAGAGCCCCTCGTAAATTGAGACCTAGAATCCCCCCCTCCCACCAACACATGTTACAATAAATGAAATCAAACAAATTCCAAATTGTGGGGCATATATACATATATTTTCAAGATGAAGAAACCCTTCATAAGTACAAACTAACAGTAAACCTCAAAACTAAATAATTTAATAAGTTGAAAGAAAAATCATAACCGGTCCCTATTACACGGTACTAATCTGTTCTAAGGCCGAAAAACATGGGTGAAAAAAAAAAAAAAGCAAGAAAACGCAACGAAGAAGCTTCCCATCAAACCTGATAAAAAAAGGGAAAATAAAGGAAGAATGGTGAGCTTGTTGTGCCAATCGCCCCTTGATACCAATAAATATACCATCATTTCTGTCCGTCCTCACAGAAAAAAACTAATAGACGACATACAACGAGAGGGATCCGGATCCTCTGGTATCACTCTAGGAAATCAATCCCTAGCATCACCCCTCAAAGTTTGCCACGTCGCCTTTAAGCGTGGCGGACTCCTTGTATGTGTGAGACACTAACCGACGTTACTTTTCAGTGACCGGCATCGCTGAAATCACAGCTTCCCCTTCTCTGGTGACTTCCGTTTCCCTCGTACTCTTCTTTGCCCTAGCCAGCGTCGGCACTCTGCAGTGCTATCATCTCAACTCACTTCTTCGGTTACAGACCTTCAGCCGTGACCAGCAAGGCAGCAAGTGGAGCTTTGGAGGTCGAATCGACGACCTGTAGCTATTGAGCGTGGGTAGCATTAGCCATTAACTCTCCTATAAATAGGACGTGTACAACGAGCTACGGTCCGAATCATCTGCGTTTGAAGCCGAATGATTTTTCTCTTGTATTCCAACCCAAACTTGAGACATAAAAGTGATTAGTCGTGCACCGTATAGGGATGCAATTTGAGCGGGATGTCCGATCTGATCCAACCCAAGTTTTGCACGGGTTGGGTCTGAGCTATAAAACTCAGATTGGGCTACTGTTGAGGCCTCATATAGCCTGATAGCCCAGACCAACTCAACCTGGCCCTATCCAACCTGATACACCTAAGAAATACATAAATTGATAAATGCATGCATTTTATTTATATAAAAATATACTTTTATCTAACTATATAAGCATGTATGTATAAAATATTTTATATGAGCTTTTGTAAATGAAATTTGTATACATTTTTATCTAATTATATATTTTCAATCAATTCTACTCTTTTAAGCCATAAGGCCCATATTTGTTCATACATTATTTCAAAACCCAACCCACCCAAACATGACTAAGCTTGGCCTAACCCAACCCAAGTTATATTGGGTTGAGCTAAGCTCAAGTTGGGCCTAGATCAATAAACTCGGGTTTGACCTCAGGTTGGGCCAAGCTCGATCCCAATGTTTGCACTTTTAAGGTTGAGCTTAGGTTAACCCTCAACCTAACCCAAGTTGCATCCCTAATTTTTTGGCTAATCAATTAAGATATAAAAGAAAAATGAAATTCTGTCTCCTTTTCTTAATAGAGTGCAATCCTTATTTTCAACAACATTATTGCCTCCATCCTCACCAACATTCCATCATAGTCGGAAAGCAAGTGCAAACTTACTATTCAAATAAAAAACAATAATCACACAACACCATCTCCATCGACACTAGTGTTTTGTAACATAATTCGCTTCAGCTCAATTTGGAAGGAGTACAAATGCAAATTTGTAGAGTGTAAAACCTTGTATTTTGTATTATTTTGTATGTATTTGCACTGTACATATTTGTATTTATACTCCTTTTAAATGGAACTTTCCGATGAAAGACCACAAAACCAGCAATGACGAGCAGGAAGGATTTTTTTTTGGGTAATTTCTCTCACATTTTTTCCTTCATATCCTCACTCATTTCTTATGTTCTTTCATTTCTTTTATTCTTCCTCTTTTCCTCTTCACCACACCATTTTCCTCTCCACATCCTGCCAGCTAGTTAGTCATTAAGGGTCCGTTTGGCATGTCTTTTTTGAGAATATCTTCTTGTAGCTCTGACAGTCAAAAGACGCATTGAGCTTTTGACATAAGATCTGGGCAGCCTGAAGACAGCTTGGTAGATGTGTGTCTTTCCGTGCGTTTGCCTGCATCTTTTCGTGTGAGATTAAAACGCGAAAGACGCAGGAAATCAGCCCAAAATGGGCTTCTCGCATCTTTTCGGCGCACCGTCTTTTGGCGGCTAGATCTTTCGCGAGCCAAACGGGAATAGACCGAAAATCGATCTTCCCGGCTTGTAAACAACCGAAAGACCACACAAAAAGACGTGCCAAATGGACCCGAAGTTATTTACTTGTTTTGTTCCTAGTTTTTTCCTCTCCATGTTCTGTCTTCCATTTCTTCACTTGCTTCTATCCTTCCCTACTATGTTCTTCACAATTTACTACTTCTATTTCCATTGGCCCCTCCTTTCCCTTTTCTTCATCCTCTATTTCTCCAATTCTCCCCTCCTTCACTAATCAAAGAAATGGGGCAACACTACCCCATGTAGCTCTCTCTTTATGATAGTCATCACATGTATGCATGCAGCTTCGGGCCACTACCATCCAAGCCAACATTCAAGTTTTTCAGCCATGATGGAATGTTGATGAGGATAGAGGCAATAATTTTGTTGAAAATAAGGATTGCACTCTATTAAGAGAATGAAAGACAAAATGTCTTTTCTTTTTTTATATTTTAACCGATTAGCCAATAAACTAGGGGTGCAACTTGGGTGAGTTGGGTTAGGTTGAGGGTTAACCTAAGCCCAACCCTAAAAGTGCAAACATTGGGATCGAGCTTAGCCCAACCTGAGGTCAAACCCAAGTTTATTGATATATGCCCAACTTGAGCTCAACCCAACATAACTTGGATTGGGTTAGGCCAAGCTTAGTCATGTTTCGGTGGGTTGGTTTTTGAAATAATTTATGAACAATTTTCTGTATAGCTATATGGGCTTTATAGCTTAAAAGGATAGAATTGATTGAAAATATACACAAATTTCATTTACAAAAGCTAATATACATATATGAACAATTTTTTGTATAACTATATGGCCTTTATGGCTTTGGCCTGTTAGGATCCCCCCTCCTTAGACATTGCAAGCGATTAACCTTTGATTAACAATCATTTTTTTCACAAAGTTATGCCCTTGAGATTCATTCCAAATCTGCAATCCAAGATAGTAAAAACTTTCATTAAAGCAAAAAATGAGTTATTCAATGATCATGTTCACTTCTCAACTTCAAAAGGTAAAAGCAAAATAAAAAGGAATAACTGAAGAGTAGTGCTAATCAAGGTTCAAAAAATCGACATGTATCGGCCAATACATATCGTATTGAGAGCTTCCCGATATGCCCCTACAGAGGGTGTATCAGGGTTTTGACCAGTTCAGGGGGCGAATGGACCTAAAACCGGCCCCTCTAAACTGGATTTGAAAAAAAAAAAACTAAAAAAACAAGTGATACGCCTCTACCGGCATATACCGGGTGTATCGATATTTTGAACCTCAATCCTAGTTTAGCAAAATAAAAGTAATAAAAGAGTCTTTAATGAAGCAACTTCTTTGAAAGTTGTGGCACCAATATTTAGAATATCCCTGGTGAAGTCAAATACACCCCCGTCAATGAGAACTTGAATAGCAAACTTCAATGGCCAACAATGATCGGTAACATGCGCAGGCACCTGGTGATAAGCACTGAATGCACTTGTATCATACTTCCTTGGCTTCGGTTTTGGGGTGGTTTCCATTGCAATGGTCAGAGATATCCCTTCAAAAGAAGAAAATGTAACAATTGAGCATGAGAGCACTGTAATTGGGTGAGTACCCTTCTTTCTTTCCTCTAGGGGGTTGGTTATTCCGATTTATTTGGACTGCAGGAAGTGGTAATGCTTGTGGTGCTAGTTTGGAGGACAAAGATGCATTAAGTGAAGTTGTCGGATGTGGGATTGGTATAGCTAATTGTTTCTTATCAATTACAGATGCACCAAGTGAACAATCGTGAATTGATGGTTTATGGGATGGGGATGTTATTTGTGGCAATGATTTGGATAGGAGTAAGTGGTAATGCTTGTAGTGCTGGTTTTGGAGGATGAAGATGCACTGAGTGAAGTTGTTGGATGTGGGATTTATATAGCCAATGGTTTCTTGCCAATTACAAATGCACCAAGTGATCGCGAGTGCGAGTATGGATATTGGAGATGTACAAGGAGGGGGTTAGGCACCCCTTTCCCAAGTCTAATAGGTGAGGCCCACATGAGATATCAACAAGCAAAAATACAAATAACAATCATTCAATTGAATATTAGAATAGTGAAGCAAATAAAAAACACAAAAGGTTTCCCCTAATTACATTTTTATTTTATTTTATTATTTTATTATTTATTTATTTTCTTTTATTATTTTTATTTAATTTTATCAATTGTTTATGTTATTTTCTTATGGAACCTCAGTTATTTTTTTATTTCTCTTATTTTTTTATATATTTTATATTTTCTAATTAATTTTACTTTTGAATCTTTTATATATATTTTTTATTTTTTTATTTTTATATATTTTGTTCATTTCATCATTTTTTAGTATTATTTCCATTTTAAAAGCTTATTTCCCTTTTTTTCTAAAAAAATCAAGCATCTATATTTATCCCTAATCCCATTTACTTATTCCTAAAGACATGTTAAAACATTTGCATCTCTTGCCACCTTTCTTTATTATATTTTTTATTCCTTACATTTTCAAATCTGCTTTATCCCCTACCATTCACTCACCCTCATCCCAACCTGCATAATTCTTTATCTAATGTTGAACTAAGCATTATGGATCAAACATAAACACACACAACTTAAGCATAGCAGTGATTACAGATACAGCTTGAGTAAACTACAAAGAATAGAGGGAATAAAATGATATACCAATATTCAGCATCTTCAACTATTCTACTTGAAAGAATTTTGAAATTCGATAAGTAGAGTAGAAGCAGAGAATATGAATAGAAGTAACAATAACCACTGACCGGGAAAACTGAATACAATAGATTCAGCTAGCAGATTCGATTAAAAAATCATCAATTAGGAAACCAAAATAAAACAACGGATTCAAACGAAATCTGCATATCTATTATCACATTAAACGAAAAGAGGGGTATGGAATAAGCCAATCCGGGCTGATACCAAGATTTACTGGAATTAAATAATCCGGTCTCTCTCCTATTAGCCACAGATACAAAGAAAACAGTCGAGCAACAAGAAAATCGATGAAACTCGTCACAGAGAAAAAGGAGACAAATCTTACCTTATCGAAATGTAGCCTGAGGATGATTGGCAACAGGGGAGGTCGTGGTTTATTCTGATTTTCGTCTCCGGGTTGCTAGCGATCGGAACAGAGAAGCCCTTCACAGACTGGGTCACTGGGATGGTTTAGAAGTAGAAACTGGCGTCAGAATGCCATTTTCGTTGACTTGTTAACAACAGAACCACGATTTGCTACAGTTGTTGCCGTTCGATTAGCGCAATAGACAACCAACCTCGAGATGCTAAGAACACAGCTTTTGTAGGTAACGAAAATTGGATCGATTCCAAGAGACGATGAGAAATCGCCTAAGAAAGAAACAAAGAAGTCCACGATTGAGATTTTTGGATAAAAAAGGAGAGTTAAGATGAGTTTGGCCGCATAGAGTTAAGATGTTCAATCCCACATTCAACAACTTCACTCAATGCATCATCATCCTTCAAACCAGCATCGCAAGAATTACCACTTGCTCTAATCCAAATAACCCAGAAAAAACAACCCCCCAAAGGAAAGAAAGAAGGGCACTCATCCAATTACCGTAGTCTCATGCTCAGTTGTTACATTTTCTTGTTTCGAAGGGATATCTTCAATCATTGAAATGAAAACCACCCCAAGAATCGAAGAAGAATGTATGATAC